TTTCGTTATTCATTGTAGTAAGAGATAACTTTTTAGGTACAGAAGTACGACATTTTTTCTGCCTATTATTATTAAGGTTTTGTTGACGCTGATGCTTCGATGGCATGAGTATTTTTTAGTAATGATTAAAATATATAATATGTTTACCAAAAACAATTCCAAATAACCGACATGTACTTCAATACTTAGCATTTAAATGATGTATCACTTCCTATTATAAATAACCAAAATCAGCAAACATTTCGAAAGAAATCAAGTTTGTTATGTTTCATACTCAAACCTGATTGTCCTCTGTCATTATATCTATTTTAATTATCGACTGTGTGCATATGAGTCATAAGATAAACAGATTTCAAAACATACGGAAAAAATATGTTATTTCCAAAATAGCTCAACAAAGACAGATCAGTTAAATTTTTGTCTGGGACATAGAGTCCTGCGGGACAAACTTTTCTGTTGCTCCGAACCCGTAAGCCCGAGCCCGTGAGCGAATAATGTTGTCCCGTGAAAACATTTATGAGCTTTTTTTGCCGCGTCCCGTTTGTCCCGTAATTTTTTGAAATTTTTTTTTCTGCTGTGATAAACTGTAACTATTACAAGAGATGCTTAAAGTCTCAAACTCAGTTTTGCAAAAAATCCGCATGACAAAATTTAAGCCTAATTTATTTGGGTCTAAACTTAAAAGTTGCAGTATACAAGAATGTTTTACATTCACTCACTATCTCGAAATAGAAAGAACCGTAAGCCTAGTTTTAGATATGGAACACCTCAAGTTTAAATCCGGATTATTTCGCGTCCCCAGGTTAATTTTTATTAGTTATTGTAAAATTACGGTTTTGATTTGATAGTATTGGTTGACCCAGAATAAATGGTCCTCCTTGTATTTTACATATAATTTTTCTTTTCAATTCTTAGATCGTGGCAACCTAATTGAGGACGGTAAGAATTTTCTAAATCCTACTCTAATCCTGTCGTGTGAAACTTGTTTAACAATCCTAATATCATTGTTCATAGTATGTCTTCTGTTATTCTTCTTTAGATTATTAAACGAGAAAATATTAAATGAAAAGTTGAGAAAACACGAATTCTACAATAGTATCCGCCTTAGATAAACATAACTTATAAGTTATATAATATTTATTAGATTTTTCTCTAGAAATGTGTAGTCGTTCTATTGTTTCTAAACTTGTAAAAAAATATAATCTGATTTTCAAAAAGTAATTGAATATTAAAGTATTCTATCCATATTTTTCAAACTTTCGTTCCTATCTCCAGTCCTAATATTGTAACAAAAAAAACTAAATGAGCTATAGAAGAATATACCACTGCAATTTTTATACCTCTGAAAAATAGAATTATTGATGCCTTTAATAAAATCCCTAATATTATTTAACTAAACATTATTATGAATTTAATATACTTAATTAAATGTCTAGCACCAATTACACCTATTCTAACAACATACCACTTATCCAGCTCCTCCGTTGGCAAAAAAAAGGGTGAAAATTGCATCGACCTATTTTTACTTGAGATTCAAAAAATTATATTTATATCATTATCTTGCATTCCTCTTTTATTATTTTGCGGTCTATAACAATCGTGGTCACTATAATGCCATTCAAGGGTTTGTATTAGAAGCATCCACACCAGTCTCATGTATTTGTTGGTGTTTATTAAAATTGAAATTAGAGAAAACATTTGTCTGAAAATTAAATCAATGAATACTTATTTATATATTTCACTTTCGCACATTTTATGAACTGTATGCTTGCTCGGATATTTATACAGATTGAGAGAATATTAAGCACAATTTATCTTTACCATATGCAATCAATATGACAGGTGGACTAATTTTAGTCATATTTTGGTTGACACCGTATTGGACATATAAGAAAACAGCTCACTATTTTAATCCTGTTGACTGGAATATGCAAAAACGGCAAGAATAGTTGAAACAATATTGTTCTAAAGAGCAGATCACACAAAATTTTATGTTTGTACACTTTTTTTCTTCTGTAGAAAATATATATTATGACGAAACAGATTTGATGATGGAATCGAATATTAGGGATGAATAGTCTATAAGACGAATTTCTAATTTTGACTCATAGGCTTTTTTCGATAATTACATGACTAGACAAACTGTTCCGCTGTTCACTAGACAAAACAATCAGCTTGAACAAGGTCTGACATACCATTGAGCAAATTAAGCATCTGCTCAGTCATTCCGGACAATTCGAGATTTTCTAAAAAAACAAGTGAGTGCGTCCATGTGAAACCTACCACGATATACAAAACTTTTTTTCATGTGCTTTCTCTCCTAGCCCATATTACAGAGTAATAAAAATGATAAATTTTGGTGAAAGCGGCAAGTTTCTAGCTAATGCAAGAGCTGAAATATCTTTATTTTATTTTCCTAGTAAAACAGAACAAAATATAGTATTACTATTTTTCTTTCCCCAAAATTGACAACACTTCACTGACTCTTAGTTCTGCTTAGACTTCAGAAACTTTTGCTTTTAGTTGAAAAACTGAAATTTCAGGGAATTTCTTACTGTTCAAAGTGAGATGATAAAGCAACTTTTCTGTTCGGAACAGTGAGAAGAAACCAGAAACCTGAATGCAATTATATATCGATTACAGGATGGAGCAAAAGGGCAACTAACATAAACAGAACTACGAAAATAAAACTCAGTTACAGTTGACATACACAAACTTCTGTATGTGATCCAATAAGACGGTTTTGTACACGGAAATGAACTTTAAACTTCGTTAATAATGGTAATGTTGATCGAAATAATGTTTCGATCGATATTTCATCAACATATTCATCGAATATTTACTGTCAATTTTTCTAATTTTAACATATGTTGTAATAATGAAATGATATATTTATGATCAACACTTTCATTCAAATCAAACTTTATTTCAGTTAGATCCACGAGTATGTCCAAATTATCATCATTCTTATTGATATTGTTGATCTGTTTACCTTAAGGTACGCTTATTAACTAAAATTTGCGGTATTACTGGTCTTGTTGCTTTGAATTTTAAATATGAAAACATGAAGTAGAAAAGATGAGTTGGCATGTAAAATTCTCGAGAAACTTTATTTATGTGCACTGTTTTAATGGATGCATAACACTTGTCATACGCGATATAGTGTTTAAAAGGATCAATAAGAAGAGAACTTTTGAAAACTGGCCTTTTAATGCTTTAAATATTATGTAGAAGAATATTGGAGCTAAGTGTATAGTTCTTTGAAGGACTAAATTCTGCACCTTCTGGTCAGAAAAAGTCCGTTCTCAACAGACAATAATTTTTTTTCTAGGGGAATACACAGAAAGTTTAAAATATCAGAGTAGCAAATAAATGCGAGTCACAGATCAGGATATTGCTAATAAACGGAAAACTTCAGAGAAAAAAAACACAGAACAATCAGATATTTCCATGCAGATTAAAAAAGTCGTTCGAGGGGTGCGACGAGTGCTGGAAAATAGCCCCTCGCCGAGGGCTCGAACCCTCGATATAAGCCTTCGAGGGGTATCGATGTCGAGCCCTCGAATTTCTTATAGGTAGCGAGCCCTCGAGAAAAATTTCGAGCCGTCGAATACAGATATTCGGGACTTCCGAGCCCTCGCTTTCTCGATGGTGGTAAGGCCCGGAAGTCCCCGAAACCCGCCGAGGGCTCGGAAATATTTCGAAAGCTTATATCGAGGGTCCGAAGCATCAGTTTCCGAGAGTTGTAGCCCTCGGCGAAGACCCATCGAAAGCATATTTCCGAGCACTCGAAGTACCTCTCGAACAACTGGTTGGGTTTGTACGTAGAAGAAATTTAAAAAAGTGGTAGGTGTAGGATAAAATCCCGAGAGTAGGCCAAAATAGGGCGTTTTTTGTAAAAAGTAGGATGTTTACGAAGCCTGTCAGTGATCACCATATTAGATCTCTTCTCACTGTGAGATTCATTGTGCCCAATTTTTTTAGGTGAGTAGCAACGTCATTAATTCGTGTAGAGATGAGCTGTTAGGACGTTGTTTACCTCAATAAGTAGCTATTTCATTGGAAGTTCAAGCAGTTCTCTCTGAGAATCATCCGTCGTTGGCGACTACATATAACAACATTGGACGAGCTTCGTAGGTTAGGTTATAGGGTGTAAAGTCGTAACTGGCAGGGCTAATATACAGTTCATCTGAAAAACGCCAATATCTCGTGGTCTTCATTTGACCCGATCGGGAAGAACAGTAAAATATACCAGTTGAATTCATATGATTCAGCTACGTGAAATTCCTACATTTGGAAGAAGAAATTAATTTGTTATGCAACAATGGTTCAATGTCATCCCACATGTGAAATGGCATACGTAACATGAATATACAAGTATCGTCGAGTGTTATTTACAAGAATAAAACAAATGGAATTTTTTCTCTTTCCAGAGATCATGAAGGATATTCTTAGATGTATTTTATGAGCGAAGACATTGTACTAATGCACATAATGTTCTACATACAAAAATAGATATTTTTCTTTTCACTTTTCTTCTTTCTGATTAAGTTATTTGTGTATTAGACAGTTCTCTCTCTTCATTGTGTACAACATATATCGGACCATTTCTTCTTCCAAATCGTTAACTAACTATCCTTTGCTCAAATCTACATCGACGGAAGGTAACCTGCTTAATTAATTAAATATGTCAATAAAAACTCGACAATTTTAGAATCATATCTCATACCATATCCTCACTGAGAAAATCTCTGTGAAATATCCATATAATAGCAGCAGATATCTCCTTTTCTCATCCACATTCTCACTCTTACACAAAATGAGCTCGACATTTCATAATGAAATGTTTTAAGTATATAGTCAAGAACAAGAATACCTGTTCAGTGTTCTGGCATGTTTTTTGCAGAAAATCAATTAATCAATTAGTCGGTTTTTGCAGTATCACGTGAACAAGCGATATGTCTCTCGATTCGATTAATGACGAAGCTCAACTTCAGAAAATGGTACCATATTCAATCTCATCACCGACTCCGTCGAGGTAATTTAAAGTTTTTCGTTTTTGTTTAGTTAACTGGCGCACAAGATCCTGATGAACGAAAAGTGATTCGAATAAGACTATTAGAAGTGAAAAAAGCGAATAGTGGTGAGAACAGAAGTCTTAGTAGATGCTACTATTTCGAGATATGGAAACGTTCATGAGACTTCTTTTTGTGTAGAAAAACGAGAGAAAGAACGTCGTCAGCGTGAACAACGAATTGAGAATGGTGTTCATGAACGTTTCAAAGCTCGAAATGAAGAGAATATGCAACGTATGCAAAAGTTCGAAGAAACGGCCAAAAGCTATGGAACAAAGATAGAATCAGCAATCGATAAATCGAAAGAAAAAGCTTTACAAGAAAAGAAAGTCTTTATCGAAAAGGAACGACAAGCGTAAGTGAGTAGATGGAGAATTTATCGAACTAAACATGAACATTTGTTTAGAGAGCTAGCTCGCATTGATCAAGCCGCAAAATCGCACATATCTGCGAATATTGGTGAAAGTCGGGGAGATTATTTAACAAAAGTAATGTGATGTAAAAGGACGACAAATCTCTAACTTTCTCTTATATGTTTCCTCTTATGCTTAAGCTTCGTCAAGAATGGATGTTGCAAGATAAACATATCGACGCTAAAAATTTAAAAGAGTTATCGAGGTTTACGGCTAACTCGGGTATGAACAAGTGGTAACTTTTGAATTTGTCTGCAATAGTTCTCTTTTTCCAGGAAGTAAATGATTTATTGTTATCAAAACACTACGATTATAATTTATCTGTCATGTCAATGCAACAAAACATTGTTTTATTTATCTGTGTAACGAAAAACATTCAATACTATCAATGACAGAATAGTGATCTATTATGTGCATATGTTCTAATACTGAGTGGTGTTTTCTATTCAGTAAGCTTGAAAGTTATTTTATTGTCATGCAATGACTCTATTTATTTATTCAAGTTTACATCTCTAAAATTCAATAAAAGAAGGTGGTAGAAAATTAAATTTGTTCGATTCGACAGAGTTGTTTGGTATAGACATACAGTTTGATATTGAACTCCATAGTAGGCATGGATTTCTCAAATTTTCTTATCGATAGTTGACCTGTATGCATTGTCTATGCTGACATGGAATAGAGAGAAACGAAAGAGAAAAATTCTTTCCGATGGTTAACGCGGGAGATGGGAGCAGATGAGAGTGAATTCCTGTTTCCTGTATATGCCACAGAGTATGCAATACGTTGTTTGGGAATCCTAGTTGAAGTGCAAACAAATGTAAAGCACAACAGTTACGATTACTGTCAAAAGTTGTAACAGTTAAACTGTAATTGCATCTTGCACAATCCGAAACATTATGAGCAGACATAAGCTTTGAAAGGGTCGAATCCACAACGAGCGTCTATATTTGCATTTTGACGTATACACATATGATCGAAATGAGTTTTAGAGACGGACAGTATGGAGATATGAAATGTTGACATCGAAATATCCATGTGAAAATTGCGCTCACAAAATTCTGGCATTTACGCGACAGAAAAAGAAAAGATTTTATGGACGACAAAAGAAAGGCCAAAGGGCACGAAATGGAAATAATGACAACACCGTGTCCAAAATGTTCAGTTGTTATTTATCTGTTCATGTTTTCCTACGCTCTTCTTCCTGTTGAAGGATTTTAAATATCTCATTCAATTTTCACGATTCACATCTTTTTCGTAGATCATTCCGACGTTCGTGAGTCTCACAACATACTGGTGCTTTCTGGACAATAAAGTCATTTTGCAATGATATTATGCTATTAGTGAAATGAGCCTGACAGGGACTGTGATTAGGGCAAAACTACTCTAGTTTTTCAGACCGTAGCCAAACTCATCACTGAACTGCTGACCATGAATTCTTGTATTATCATTGTTTTTCAGAAGAAATTCTTCTACTTTTTATGCACATCTAAGATATCGGCATTATATGTGCTAAAGTGACGTTTACTTTCCAACTGTAGATCTTAATTGGCTCTATAGGAGAATTTACTTGTAGCACCTTGTTGAAAGTAAAATAATTTTTCGAAGAAGCCAGCAGCTGTCAGTAATAAAACTATGTTTGATTGCGGCACGATGTTTAGTAATGCTTCAAAAATAGTGTTTTTAGCTGCATTCTATATTTACCAATGAAGATGAAATTAAAGTTAAATCTTATGTGAACTGAAAATTATCGACCGTGTGGATATGTAAATGAAAAGAAACATAATACATACAGCAAATAGAATACAGCATTGATAGTCAAAATGAATATGGAAAGCTCTAAATAAGTTGATACTTTTAAATTAAAAACAAATATGCTGGTTCACGTCCGATTCTCTCTATTGGTGTATAAAGATTCAAGGATCAATATTGGTTTTATGTTTAACTGTTTTGATGGCACGACGATTATATTTATATGCACATGCAGTGAATATATAACTTTAACGTTAAGTTTGCGCCGTCTTATAGGGCAGCTCCTCATTTGAAGTGTCTAACATTATCATCTAAAAGAAGGCAAAATATTTGTCTCTGTGATATTTGTCGCTGTACAATACCTAGTTCGACGCAGTTTTATTCGTAGATCATGAATATACTATTGATTGTTAATTTTGAACTGAAAAATAAACAAAAACAATATTTTTGTCCTATAATGAATAGTGAAAAGCGTATTTCAAAAGTAAATAGGAACGAAGTGGATCTTGCGAACTATTTTTTGTGCTTAGAATGACATAAATTGAAAGCTCATGATCAGGAGATGTCTACCCTAGTCGAGACTCCCGGCAAAACTCCAACGGGAGTCCCAAGTTTATGAAAAACTCCAGCAGGAATCGTAAGGAGTCCTGATGACTCTCGCAGGAACTTTCTAGAGTGAAAAGTCCAACATGGAG